AATTCTACGCGTGGTTGTCGTCGTAAAAAGAGACTAAGGGATAATCATCCAGGGAATGGGCAGCAGCGTTCCCTGTAAAAGCAACATCTTGCACTGCGCTCGCCAATCCGCCAGCCAAGCGTGATGAGGATGAGAATAAATACCCCACGATAGGCGGAGGCCCATGTTCAGCAGTGGACTGTTGTGGCTGTTATGGTGGTGGTAGTGGATGTTAAAAACTCAGTTGACTCTGTTTATTTCACACAATATATTCGTTATTCGCCATATAATAAGTAACCTATACCTACTACTTATAAAATGTAGCGTCACGTCAACAAATTGGACAAATTGGGGACGACTACTTTAAAGTCTTGAACGATTGAATTCAGTTCAGTGGCGTGTCACTATGTAGTAAGTAGTAGGTAGGCGGTTGCAAAACTCACACACCAGGGTTTGCCAGATCGTTGGACGACTCGATGTTCCACTCAAAAAGTACAAAATTATTATCGCTAAAAGTTACTTAATCAGCGTCATCGCACTTGCAATGTATGCAGCTCTCTTGGCCCTGCTCATGCCAGCAGTACGGTTTTGGGGGTTCTGGACCCATCTCCGGTTCCTCCGGTATGACGCAGCCAGCACTCAGCTCGGTGGTGCTAAGGTCGCACGTGGCGTCTTCGGTAAGACGAGGAGAGGTAGTTGGCGTCAGGATGTTCAGGGTGTTGGATATTATGTCCAGCTTCTCTTCCAAGTAGGGGAAGTCGCGTGTTAGTTGGTTCACTATGTATCTGGAAATAGAGGTGTTATGTTAGATTTGATGTAAGATTTTTTGGTTTGTCTCTATTACGAGAATACAAACCCTGATGCAGCACAGACAACTTATCAATTATGTAAATCGCAAATTGTCTAAGTCTCAAAATGCCCAAAGTCGCAAAATTTCCACAGTCGCAAAAAGTTTGATGACTTACTGCAGCCTGTCGTTGAGTGCGCGCGACTGCTCGTACTCGGCGAGCACGGCGCTCTTGGGCTTGCGCACGCGCAGCGACTGCCGCTTCACCGCGCGCTGCAGCTCGCTGCCCACGCGCTGACTGCGTACCACGCGCAAGTTTGCTAACTTACTGCAGCCTATCGTTGAGTGCGCGCGACTGCTCGTACTCGGCGAGCACGGCGCTCTTGGGCTTGCGCACGCGCAGCGACTGCCGCTTCACCGCGCGCTGCAGCTCGCTGCCCACGCGCTGACTGCGTACCACGCGCAAGTTTGCTAACTTACTGCAGCCTATCGTTGAGTGCGCGCGACTGCTCGTACTCGGCGAGCACGGCGCTCTTGGGCTTGCGCACGCGCAGCGACTGCCGCTTCACCGCGCGCTGCAGCTCGCTGCCCACGCGCTGACTGCGTACCACGCGCAAGTTTGCTAACTTACTGCAGCCTATCGTTGAGTGCGCGCGACTGCTCGTACTCGGCGAGCACGGCGCTCTTGGGCTTGCGCACGCGCAGCGACTGCCGCTTCACCGCGCGCTGCAGCTCGCACCACGCACCACGTGCTAGTTTGCTAACTTACTGCAGCCTATCGTTGAGTGCGCGCGACTGCTCGTACTCTGCGAGCACGGCGCTCTTGGGCTTGCGCACGCGCAGCGACTGCCGCTTCACCGCGCGCTGCAGCTCGCTGCCCACGCGCTGGCTGCGCACCACGCGCTCCAACAGCTACACGAAAATAGGATGTAATTTACTAGTCTAGCGAGAAATCGAGTCATAGATCGAGTCGTACACGATTTGAAAGTCATACACGAACACATCTAAACTATTTAAAAATATTTCTTGCTTAAATGCAAATTTTTGTCTTAAATCAGCGCTATCTAGTGGAAGTGTAAAAACTAGTACTTTATATTTCGTAGTATTTGCTTGAGGACTACAGAACAGCCTTACAAATTGTTGTCCTTGTTGACCTGCGCTATTTTCTTCAAGCTGGGAATTCTCTGAGGCGAACGCTTCCCCTTATTTCTCAGTCTGTCCTGGTCTTCCAGCAGCTGCTTTATGTGGGCTTTCAACTCAGTCAACTCCTTGCGAACAAGGCTGGATAGACCACTACCTACATAACCTTCTCATGATCTTACCCATTGCTTGTCCTTGTCGACCTGCCGACACTCTCGCAGCAGCGTCGCAATGTTTTCCTCAAGCTGAGCGTTCTCAGAAGCAATCGCGTCCACCTCTTTGTTCAGACGGTCCTGGTCTTCCAGCAACTGCTTCATGTGAGGCTTCGACTCGGTCAGCTCCCTGCGAACAAGGTTTGATAGAGAACTACCTACATAAACCTTCTCATGATCTTACCCATTGCTTGTCCTTGTCGACCTGCCGACACTCTCGCAGCAGCGTCGCAATGTTTTCCTCAAGCTGAGCGTTCTCAGAAGCAATCGCGTCCACCTCTTTGTTCAGACGGTCCTGGTCTTCCAGCAACTGCTTCATGTGAGCCTTCGACTCGGTCAGCTCCTGGCGAACAAGATTGGAGTGATAGACCAAGAATGGGTCAAAGGAAGTATAAAAACTACAATATCCAAGACACAAAAATTTAAAATTGAATTGCTGAGAGGTTTGAAAGTGCAGCGTGAGACGCTTAACTTTCAACCAGGTGGACCGACAGTCTTTAAAAATTTGGGGGCAGCCGGTGAATAGGTAGGTACAGGTTGGTCCAAAAACGAGGTCTATGCAAACGTGTAGGGGAAGCCCGTCAAGCCAATCTACCTTGGTAACTCGGCTGACGTCGGACTTGATGAGCCTGAGCTTGTGTTTGTACGTAGACTGCGAGGTGTGCCCCTGTATGCCGCGCGCCTTCTCCACGGCGGCGGAGGCCCGTGTCTTGTCAGTTGCCGTCTCGCGCCGCAGCACGTACATCGCCAGGTCATCCGATAACTTCTCAGCCGTACGCCGCAGCTGCTCTCGGCGAACCTGACAAGTCACAAAAGGATATAGAAACCAAAAAATTCGCACGACTGGAATACCTGCACTGATTATCGTGCTTCCAAGTCGATCGAATTGAATATATCTGCCACGCGCAATTAGGTAATACGAATATTTTTTAAACTACCTACCTGCGACACAGAAACATCCTCGCATCTTTTTAATAATTTATCGGTAGGTAGGTACTACAAGCTATTTACCTCCATCTTGTGAATCTCGTTCTTCATTCTTCCAATTTCTCCTACAGCAGATTGAGCAGTTTTGAAGTTTCTCTTCAATTCGACTGCAAGAATTCCCTGTAATAATAATGTTTCATCATCAAATCTAACATATTATAACAGGTCACATCATGAGTTATCTTTTACTATTACTTACCAAGAAATGGAGTGCCTCTCGCAACACTCTTACTGAATAGAGAAACTGCTATCTCAGTAGAATCCTATCCACTCTTATTTTGAATTGATTATATCTATGCTTTTCGTTCGGGAACACTATACTGAACTCACCTTCCGTTGCCAAACCAAGGCTTCACGCGTCACATGGTCGAGCTCTTGCGTAAGGTCCACTTTATCCTTTTCCAAAACTTCTATTTCTTCTTCCAGTTCTAGCAATTCATTTTCTCCGTCCTGAAAGACGACATTGGTGGAGCTTTTAGAATATCGTAAATAAAATTCATAGACTTATATATATAAACTAGCGTTTATAGACCAACTGACAGCTCGATCTCGCGTGACCAATTTTGGTTTTGGCGCGCTTACCTCAGCTAGTGATGTACATTATTCAACTTGGAGGGTTATCGATAATTTCAAATAAAAATGGTATGAAGATTTCAACTTTATTTATTTGTTCAATTGAAATGTTGACATCATGCTGTTTTTGCTGCGGCGGGTCATTTCCTTTTTTGCAGTCAGCGTATTTCCTACGTAGGTTTCTTTATAGAATTTGCTGAGAAGGTTGTTCGCAAGAATCCTGGTCAATAGGCGCTATCTTCACAAATAAGACGTGTGAAACGAAAAATAGAATGACATCTGTCAGACAAATGATCGCCGGTGGTCACTGGTCATCGATGCAATGCACGTTTACATGTATATACGGCGTCTCTTCTGTTTCATATATTTTATATGGAAACGGTTTCGAGCATTGCGGTCTCTCACATCTCACGTCGAATCTCTCATTAATACGACCCTGAAAATAATATTAATAAATATTTCGTATGAGTCACTGGATTTAAAGTGAATCTGTTGGATGTAGGTAGTTAAAAAGAATGTTTTATGTATTTGTAAAAAAAAGGTCTAAATTGTTCGAGTACCTATTTAGCGAAAATTTTAAATTCGCATGTTTTTAATCTTGTTATATCGTTCAAAAAGTTTGTAAGGTACCTCTAACGGTACGGTAACTATCGATAACTTAGTCGATAAATTGGAGTCAATCCCTGGCCTAAATACGAAATTATTTTATCCCCAAATATTATGAAAATTACCAACTAATACACTTTTATATATCGAAAATACGAAAGTAAATATAAGGATTTACGTATTTTATTATACTAACTTACAAAAAAGGTACATTTAGACAAAGAATTCACGTGTAATCCCAGAGACGACTTTCTGGGAATTTACCTGTAAAATGTGCAGTATTCCGGGTAAATGTGAAGATTCGCACCACGTTAGCATCCTGAATACATAGCCATTATGGCACACTAATCAAATTATAAAAATAAATCGGGTTTTCTGAAAAAAATACGAAAATAATTGTACAGCTCAAAACCAGCGGGTTGAAATGGGAAGATCTGTCATACAAAACAGGTTACAGTGACATAAGGTTCGCTATTCTTTTCTATCTTACTGAGTTTCCATAAATCATTTTCTTCTCTTTTGCACACTATGTTCGTCTATCGTTTCTATGTCTATGATAAAATTAATATGTATAGAGCTCTTTTCATTCATGTTTCGTGGTTCGTGGAAAAGTCAACAAAAATAACTTTCGTGGAAAATAATACTTTCTACACTCGCTAGATCGTCGCTGGGAGACGAGCATCAAGACATTAAAAATTTGGTAGGCATCGATCGGTGCATCGATAGTTCAGTGGCAGAGCGGTGAGGCGTTGGTTGACCCATTCGGCCCGGGTTCAAGCCCCGGTCGATGCATGACATTTTTCAATTTCTTATTTTCATTTATGACAAAGAATACTTGATGATTAAATCAGAACTTTACCTTGAGGTTATTGGAGTACTCGTACGAGAGAGCCTGATTGGCCTTCCGCGTGTTGGTGGTGATGTCCTTGGTCTCCTTGCGCGCGCGCTCCAGCACGGTCAGGCGGCCGCGCAGGTCGCGCAGCACGCGGTGGACCGTTGACCCATGCGGCCCGGGTTCGAGCCCCGGTCGATGCATGACATTTTTTCAATTTCTTATTTTAATACCTGATGATTATATCACAACTCTACCTTGAGGTTATTGGAGTACTCGTACGAAAGGGCCTGATTGGCCTTCCGCGTGTTGGTAGTGATGTCCTTGGTCTCCTTGCGCGCTCGCTCCAGCACGGTCAGGCGGCCGCGCAGGTCGCGCAGCACGCGGTCCACCTTGATGCGCTCCTGGGTCACCTTTTCGATGTTGGCCATAGTGAACATCAGCTTCTGGTCGCAGATTTGGATCTCTGCAACAAACTTACAAATCAACATCGTCGACCAACACCACTACCAGTTTTCAGTTTCTACCAGTAGAAAGATTTCGTGTAAAACATTAATGAGCAAATGAGATAGAAATTACATCAGCGGCCCTTGGGCGTGATGGCTTTATAGATCCTACAGATCAGTGGCAAATGAGCTATACCTAGTATAGGTAACTAGTAGTGAGTAGGTCTGCTAGAGCTGATTTTACTTTGTTTACGGTTGTTTCTGGCATTTATGCAAAAAACTGGTATTTTTTACAAACATGAGGATTTTTCATAGTGATTACATTTCTTTTGACTGTAACACAAAACTCTTGCCATCGCGCATCAGGCTTGCAAGGCTGCTGCTTTGGCGGAAATAAAAGTTTTTGCTGCGACAAACCAAAGTAGGATTACACTCACGCTTGTGGATGAGCTGGATGTCGGCCACCAGGTGCTGATGCTGCTGCGTGAGCCGCACCACGTGGCCCTGCAGCCGCAGCCACTCGTACTGCATGTTCTGGTCTCTTTGCTGCAGACAGCTACTGTAGGATTACACTCACGCTTGTGGATGAGCTGGATGTCGGCCACCAGGTGCTGATGCTGCTGCGTGAGCCGCACCACGTGGCCCTGCAGCCGCAGCCACTCGTACTGCATGTTCTGGTCTCTTTGCTGCAGACAGCTATTGTGGGATCACACTCACGCTTGTGGATGAGCTGGATGTCGGCCACCAGGTGCTGATGCTGCTGCGTGAGCCGCACCACGTGGCCCTGCAGCCGCAGCCACTCGTACTGCATGTTCTGGTCTCTTTGCTGCAGACAGCTACTGTAAGATTACACTCACGCTTGTGGATGAGCTGGATGTCGGCCACCAGGTGCTGATGCTGCTGCGTGAGCCGCACCACGTGGCCCTGCAGCCGCAGCCACTCGTACTGCATGTTCTGGTCTCTTTGCTGCAGACAGCTACTGTAGGATTACACTCACGCTTGTGGATGAGAGTCTCTTTGCTGCAGACAGCTACTGTAGGATTACACTCACGCTTGTGGATGAGCTGGGGTCTCTTTGCTGCAGACAGCTACTGTAGGATCACACTCACGCTTGTGGATGAGCTGGATGTCGGCCACCAGGTGCCTCTTTGCTGCAGACAGCTACTGTAGGATTACACACACGCTTGTGGATGAGCTGGATGTCGGCCACCAGGTGCTGATGCTGCTGCGTGAGCCGCACCACGTGGCCCTGCAGCCGCAGCCACTCGTACTGCATGTTCTGGTCTCTTTGCTGCAGACAGCTACTGTAGGATTGCACTCACGCTTGTGGATGAGCTGGATGTCGGCCACCAGGTGCTGATGCTGCTGCGTGAGCCGCACCACGTGGCCCTGCAGCCGCAGCCACTCGTACTGCATGTTCTGGTCTCTTTGCTGCAGACAGCTACTGTAGGATTACACTCACGCTTGTGGATGAGCTGGATGTCTGCCACCAGGTGCCTCTTTGCTGCAGAGAGCTACTGTGGGATTAAACTCACGCTTGTGGATGAGCTGGATGTATCGTTGTGGTCTCTTTGCTGCAGACAGCTACTGTAGGATTACACTCACGCTTGTGGATGAGCTGATGTCAGCCACCAGGTGACTTGTACTGCATGTTCTGGTCTCTTTGCTGCAGACAGCTACTGTAGGATTACACTCACGCTTGTGGATGAGCTGGATGTCGGCCACCAGGTGCCTCTTTGCTGCAGACAGCTACTGTAGGATTACACACACGCTTGTGGATGAGCTGGATGTCGGCCACCAGGTGCTGATGCTGCTGCGTGAGCCGCACCACGTGGCCCTGCAGCCGCAGCCACTCGTACTGCATGTTCTGGTCTCTTTGCTGCAGACAGCTACTGTAGGATTACACTCACGCTTGTGGATGAGCTGGATGTCGGCCACCAGGTGCCTCTTTGCTGCAGACAGCTACTGTAGGATTACACACACGCTTGTGGATGAGCTGGATGTCGGCCACCAGGTGCTGATGCTGCTGCGTGAGTCGCACCACGTGGCCCTGCAGCCGCAGCCACTCGTACTGCATGTTCTGGTCTCTTTGCTGCAGACAGCTACTGTAGGATCACACTCACGCTTGTGGATGAGCTGGATGTATCGGTGCGGTCTCTTTGCTGCAGACAGCTACCGTACGATCACACTCACGCTTGTGGATGTACTGCATGTATCGGTGGTCTCTTTGCTGCAGACAGCTACTGTAGGATTACACTCACGCTTGTGGTTGTACTGCATGTATCGGTGTGGTCTCTTTGCTGCAGACAGCTACTGTAGGATTACACTCACGCTTGTGGATGAGCTGTATGTATCGGTGGTCTCTTTGCTGCAGACAGCTACTGTAGGATTACACTCACGCTTGTGGATGAGCTGGATGTCGGCCACCAGGTGCTGATGCTGCTGCGTGAGTCGCACCACGTGGCCCTGCAGCCGCAGCCACTCGTACTGCATGTTCTGGTCTCTTTGCTGCAGACAGCTATTGTGGGATCACACTCACGCTTGTGGATGAGCTGGATGTCGGCCACCAGGTGCTGATGCTGCTGCGTGAGCCGCACCACGTGGCCCTGCAGCCGCAGCCACTCGTACTGCATGTTCTGGTCTCTTTGCTGCAGACAGCTATTGTGGGATCACACTCACGCTTGTGGATGAGCTGGATGTCGGCCACCAGGTGCTGATGCTGCTGCGTGAGCCGCACCACGTGGCCCTGCAGCCGCAGCCACTCGTACTGCATGTTCTCGGTGCGGTCTCGTAGCTCTTTGATCTGCTGCTCCAGCTGGATGATGCGCCGCTCTTGTGGGGATTGTTGCTAGAAAACAGAATCATTATATTTCAGTTTAAAACGGAATAAAGCACAATATACCGGAAGTAACAAAAAGCGTATAATAAGCTGAAAGGAAAAAAGTTGTACCTCACACAGTAAATCAATCAGCTGTCAACGATTTTGTATGGGAGGTCCAAATTTTCTTTTCATACTTCGACCCAAGTTCCATGGGGAAAGTTGTTCAGTTTCATGAGTACCATGACTTCCTTTCCGACTTGTTATACCCATTTTGTTACTCCCAGTACATAGGTAATTTGGCTCAGCATCTGTATCAGCAGTACAATCATATCACTTACGTTATAGATTTCATTGAGTGCATTGAACTTCTTCTGCACGATGTCGAGCTCGCGTTGCTTGCGCGTCATCACCAGCTGTTTCTGGTCGTACTGCTCCTGCAGCGCGTCCAGCTCTTGCTCCCTTTCGCGGACCTTCGCCAGGCCCTTCTCCAACAAGCCCGCCTGACGGTGCTGACGGTCTTTGTAGATTTCTATGTTCAACATCACCTTCGCGTGCTGGTTTTCTATTGTCATCAGGGATATTTCCTGTTAACATTTTATTTGTTTATTAAAATCTTCAAACGATATAATGATGGGAACCGAATTATTTATGAGCTTACGCTACAGCTATCTTAATGTCTCAAACCAGAAGCACATATAGAGCAAAATTATTAGATGCTTACCATTGGTAAGTTGGAAAAAGTAGCTATACAAAAATCAAACTCAAAGGTCATTAGGAAACTAGACCGATCAGGTCAAGAAAGTTGATAGAATGTTCCTGATGGTATATTATATCGCCTTTGTACAAAAACAAGTCAGTACATTTTTAACCGAGGAAATAACTTCGGAGGAGGTTCTCAATTCGTTGTAGAGTTTTTTGAAAATGTTCTTCAAATTTATTCCCATAATCGTGAACTGACCAGTTTCCGCGCCATATCGCGCATCTTCTTGATGCCGTCGGCCATGGCCTCTACCGCCTTGTCGTTGAGCAGGCACTCCTGCAAGTTCTCCAGGATCTGGTTCTCCATCTTCAGCTTCTGCGCGGCGACCCGGTCGCATTCCTTCTCGGTCGACATCAGGATGTTTCTCATCGTGTTGTTTTCCTGGAATTTATTACGGAATCTTCTTGCACTATCAATCAAACCACTAAATTCAAGTAAGGGAATCAAACGTGCCATAAAAAAGCCTACAGTCTACAGTACTGGTCTTGGCTGGGAGAAATTGGAGGTTGATGCTCGAGATCGTGAGAAATGGAGTATTTATCTTCAAGCCTTCCCTAGTGAAGGATATCAGGATTCCATCATTATGATCATCATCTACAGAATAACAAAAATATCTTGAGATTTGGTGGAAATTTAATACAAACCATTTTAGTCATCTCAATGTCTCTATCAGTCATTTCCATGAACTGCTTGAGCTCGTCGATTTGTTTCTCCATATCCAAACGTTTCTGATCCTCAGCCTCATCTGCAAAAATGAGCCAATTAAAATATAAAGTAAAGACTTGATGTACTATACATAATGTTCTTACTTTAGCTGTGAAAAATCTCTACCTACAACATCAAAAATCTACAACTCAAGGTATCCATGAGCCGAGCAAAACAAGTCAAAGCAAGCACTCTGGGGTGACACTGGGCTTGAGAATGAATCTTACT